GGTCCCTGCAAGGAGGCTCCTGCCTCTCATAACCAGCAGTGGAGCGCTAGGTCCTTCTTGCCCTTGGAATCTCTTAGATGTTTAGTATTTTTTTTTTCCCTCTTCCGCCTCATCTCTCTGACTCCTCTGATTCCTAGTCTGTATTTAAGGAGGAACCCGTGGACCCATTTGGGTATTCCAGGATGGGATCCCTGTCTGTATTGGCCCTTTCTTCATTACTATAATGAAATACTCAAGGCAGACTGGCCTTATAAAGAAAAAAGGTTTACTTAGCTTACAGTTCAGTGATTCAGGGCATGATGTAGATGGGCATGGTGGTGCACGTCTGTCATCCCAGACTCAGGAGGCTGAGGCAGGATAATCACGACTTTGAGGACAGCCTCAACATCTTAGAGAGACCCTATCTCAAAATAAAAGAGTCCAGTGATACAGCTCAGGGGTAAAGCATCGCTGGGTTCGACCCCAGTACCAGTTAAGGGGAAGGCATGACACTGACATTACAACTCTAGCGAGGGCCTTCTTGACCTTGTCACATCATGGTGGGTGTGTCTGTGTGTGAGAGAGTGCATCTCAAAACAGGAAGCCCGAGAAAAGGGGGGGTCCCATATCCCTTCTGGGGGCACACCCCCATGGACCTAGGGACCTCCCACTAGGCCCCACCTCTTAAAGGCTCCACGTCTCAATACCACCATCCTGGGGCCCAAGCACCCAACACGTCCAACCTTTGGTGGGGGTCACAATTAAACCATATCCAAACCGTGGTACTATCTGAAAGTCTGACGGTGAGGAAATTCCATTATATCCTCAAAGCTCCAGCACAGTAAGTAGACGGAATAAAGTTTGAATAACCAAGGGATAGGAATCTTTAAGGGACATCTTCAGAGTTCTGCCTATGAAGTGTGTCTCTAGTGTGAAGCTTCTCGCCGGTCCTTTGCTAATGTGAACTCTGACTCCCAAAGAGGTGATTTCCCCTTGTCAGTTGTCTCTTAGAATTAGGTTCAGTTGAACATGCCAGAAAACTCAAAATTTAACACTGGGTAAGACAAAACAGAAACGTATTCACTCTCACACAGAACGAGACTGGAGGTTGGTCCTCTTGACGATACCAGAAAGCATCATGACCTACCTGTGACCTTCTCTTTCTAGTCTATCATCCTAAAGCAGTTTCTAACTTGAGGTGGATTCGAGGAGGAAAATGGCTGCTGAGAGTCCAGCTGTCACATCTGCATTCCATGCTGGGCTGCTATACCTCCAGGCTGAGGTATCTTTCTTGAAACAGCCTTCCCAGAAGTCAGCCCAGACCTTGAGCTTTTATCTTGTTGGCCAGAACTTGGTGTTAACGGGGTTTCATGTAGTCTGGGAAGCACTGCCTCTGAGCTGGGTAGTCTGCTGCCTGGAATACAGGCACTGTTCCAGGCTCCGGGAGGAGGGCAGCACGGACATGGTGTGGCCGAGCCCGGGAGGCCACCCTGGGAGTCCCAAGCGTATCTGACTGCAGCTGCCTTTGTTCCCAGACGAGGTGCTTTTCCCTCTGAGCGCAGGGACAAAGTCATCCGTCCCTTCCCAGGCAGGACAGCGGGCCGCGGGTTGCGTGTGTGTCACATTCTGGCCGCCGAGCAGGTCTGTGTCTTGCTCTCCTCATCCCCAGTGACTGAAAGTGTCCTAACAGCAAATCACGGAGCATTGGTGTGGTGTGTGGTGGAGCAAGCGTGTCACCTCCCTGTAACTGCAATGGGCCACTGCCACCTGCCATGTCCCTGGGTGTCCCTGGAGCAGGACCAGTCAGCCAACCCACGGCAGCAATTCCAGGCATTTCTGCCTGGAGGCCCCCAGTTCCTTTGCTTCTGTGTCCCTGTCAACAGCTCAATGCCACCTCTGTCACCACCCCCACCTCCTTGCCTGTGGCTGGGGCCATCCTGATCCTTCATGCTCCAGTCTCCGCTGGAGGAACCTGGAAGGGTCTCCGACGCATGGTTAAGGGCAAGAGAAGGTCGTTGCCACAGAGGGAGGAAGGGGCTTCAAATCAAATGCCCATCACCTTGTTCTTCAAAACCCGTCACAGTGCTCTGCAGAGGGGAGTGTCCCCAGGCTCTGTCCATCTGTGAGCCCTCTTTTCCTGCTGACCCCACCCATGCCAGTGTCCTGGACTGAGCAGAAAGGCCAGATTCCGGATACACAATCTACCAACAGATACATGAAAAAAATGTCCGTCATCTGTAGCCGTTAGAGAAATGCAAATCAAAACCTCTCTAAGAATTCATCTCACTCCAGTCAGAAAGGCAGCACTTATGAAGACAAACAACAGTAAGTGTTGGCGAGGATGTGGGGGGAAAGGTACACTCATACGTTGATGGTGGGACTGCAAATTGGTGCAGCCAGTATGGAAAGCAGTATGGAGAGTCCTTGGAAATCTGGGAATGGAACCACCATTTGACTCAGTAATTCCTCTCCTCGGTCTATACCCAAAGGACTTAAAAACAGCATACTAGGGCTGGGGATGTGGCTCAAGGGGTAGCGCACTCGCTTGGCATGCGTGGGGCGCTGGGTTCGATCCTCAGCACCACATAAAAATAAAATAAAGATGTTGTGTCCACCGAAAACTGAAAAATAAAGATTAAAAAAATTCTCTCTCTTCTCTCTCTCTCTTAAAAAAAATCAGCATACTACAGGGACGCAGCCACATCGATGTTTATAGCAGCACAATTCACAATAGCTAAACTGTGGAGCCAACCTAGATGCCCTTCAGTGGATGAATGGATAATAAAAAAAAGTGTGGTATATATACACAATGGAATATTACTCAGCATTAAAAGAATAAAGTCATGGCATTTGTAGGTAAATGGATGGCATTGGAGAAGGTAATGCTAAATCAAATTAGCCAATCCCCAAAAAACAAATGCCGAATGTTTTCTCTGATATAAGCAAGTTGACTCATAGTGGGGTAGGGAGGGGGAGCATGGGAGGAATAGATGAACTCTAGACCGGGCAGAGGGGTAGGAGGGGAAGGGAGGGGGCAGGGGGTTAGCAAGGATGGTGGAATGTGATGGACATCATTATCCAAAGTACAAGTATGAAGACATGAATTGGTGTGAATCTGTTTTATATACAACCAGAGATATGAAAAATGGTGCTCTGTATGTGGAAAAGGAATTGCAATGCATTCCACTGTCATGTGTTTTTAAAAAATCAATAAAAATAAAGAAGAAAGGCAGCTTCCTGCACTGGAGAGGTGTGAGACGGGCCCTGGGTTGCCAGGGATGGAGGAGATGAGGTGGACCCTTTGCTCCCACCGAGGGAGAGACAGAGGGGAGAGGAGAGATGAGACACTGACTTCAGGGTATAGGCCCGTCCTCAGTGGGAGACCTGTGAGTCCTCAGTGGGTGTGACTGGATGTGACCTGGTGTGGGGAAGCAGATTGTCCCAGGTTGGCCAGGGAGGCCCTTGGCTGGGGAGGCGCGGGCCTTGGTCAGCAGGCTGACACTCGCTAAGTGGGGCTCGTGGGTGTCAGCAGGGCCTGGAGGGGTGGCTGAGGGTCTGCCAGGGCGTGGCTGGGCACTCAGCGCTCAAGGCCACCAAGAAGGTCCAGAGGTGAACGGATTAGAGAGTGACATTCTAATCAGCAGATTGATCCCTGATACCGATTAGCTGGGTGGTGACTGTAGGCAGGTGGGTGTGGCTGGAGGAAGCAGGTCTCTGCCCTCAGGGTTCGTATTTTGTCCCTGGTGAGTGGCGCTGGTTCTGCTTCCTGGTTCCTGGACTGAGCTGCTCTCCTCCGCCACACCCATCCACCCTGCCGTTCTGCCTCATCTCAGACTCAGAGCCACAGAAGCTGAGCCACGGGCTGAACCTCGGAAACCAGGAGCCAAAATAAGATTTCCCTCCTCTAGGTTGTTTGTCGGGTCTTCCGGTCACAGTGAGGAGAAACACACAGAGACACACGTCATCTCAAAGTCAGCAGCCGGCTGACCAGAGAAGGATCTAGACAAGCAGGCCTTCCGGAACACCTCTGGACAAGCCCAGAGGCAGGGCAGCCAGGCAGAGCCAGGGCAGCCGGTGGGAGGCGCAGCTCTGTGTGATGCTGGGGCCCAGGAGCTGGGCATTACCCGGGAGGCAGAAGCTTCCAGAATCAGCTCGAGGATTCTAGATCTACCAAAGTATGGATCAGGCCACCAAACCGGGGTCCAATGCTGCTGCTGCTGCTGGGTGCCTGTTGGGCTCCCCAGGGGCTCCTGGCAGATGGCCTTGGTTTCACACAGGGGAGGGACACGGCCGGAACCCCCTCTTATGACTCTCTCTGGCGGAAAGTCCTCGGACTCAGCACACTCCCCACAGTACCCGCTTTGCTGACCTGCTTATCAAGGTCCAGCTCCCTCATCAAGTGGGTTCCTGGTACCCTGGGGCGATCTATCCCACCAGCTCACAGGGAGTCTCACCCACTGAAGACTCACAGGTGCCCCCACCAAGCCCTGACCTTGAAGCCAGTGTCTTGGTTTCTCTCTCCCTCTTTGCCTCTCTCTCTCTCTCTCTCTCTCTCTCTCTCTCTCTCTCTCTCTCTGGCCAGGAAGACCCTGGGTGGAAGAGCACTTCCAAGGCAGCCAAAGGCAGTGACCTGCCTCTTCTGGAACACAAACATTCATGTTCTTCCTGTGCCATCGTGAAGAATGGCCCACTGAAAGCCATATGCTCATACTCCCTCCCCACTAAAATACCTCAGGACCACCCAGTGCCACACAAGAAAGTTCTGTCCAAAACATTGGGTGACTACTACAACCAAGAAAATGCTCATGGTCACCAATGTTTCATTTTCCTCTCCCAGATGCTGGAGAAAGCTGCCCATTACAACCTCCTTGGTGGTTAGGTTGAGGCCATGTGACCAGTTCTGGTGAACAGACGATAAGTAGAAGTTAAGTGGGTGATTTCCTGGCTAAAGCTTAGCAAAGCAGGTATGAGGGCTGCATTAGTCCATTTTCTGTTACTGTAACAAAATACCTGAGGCTGAGTGCTTTATAAAGAAAATAAGTTTTATTTCACTCATGGTTTTGGAGTTTCAAGTAGCACTGTACCGGCTCTGGTGAGGTCCCCCTTGGCTGTATCACATCATGGCAGATGCCATCATTGGGGAAGAGAGAAATCACATGGTGAGACAGGAAGCCAGAGAGCAGGAATGAGCCAGTATTGACCTTCCTCTATGCCCCACCTCTTAAAAGACCCATCATTCTCCTAACATGGTCATACTGGGGACCAAGCTTCTAGGACATGACCTTTGGAGCAAGGTCCCATGGCTTCCTTCCCCCATAGTGGGGATCCCAAAGCTGCATATTGAGATGGCAGTGACTGGGCTCCTGAGTCTTGGGAGAGCCACCAAGTCCAACAACTCCTCTGTGTGTACCAAAATACACACCCCAGTCCCAGTGGAGGTAGCAGAATACAGACCCCAAATATGGCAGGTTGACATCAGGACCGCCTCAAGCTAAAGGCACCTTGAAAGACGTCAGGTGCAAGGAGGGCTTTCTAGTCCACCTTTCTCTTCCTGAGAACAGAGAAAACTCCCACGTGAAAGATGCCCTCCTTGTTCTAGGAGAAAGGGACGTTCTCCAATGGGGAATCAGCCAGGAGAATCCTCTACCAGCAAATCTTGTTAACATGACTCTTACCTCCCTTTGTCTTCCCCACGTGAAGTTGTCTCTTTCCACAAAGGTCTGTCTGTTCCACCCGACACAAAACGCGCAGGTTTGCCCAGTTTGTCGGATCTTTATTTCCTCATAAAGGCTCCTGTGTCACATAAAGCTTACGTTAAATTGGCATGCTCTATTCCTGGCATGTATTTTTCTTGCCGTGCATATGCCCTATATCAATCTAATTCTCAGGCTCAGCTGGGACCCTAAGAAGGGATGCATCCCCTATACCAGCCAGCATCAGACATTGACCAGACTGAAAAATGAACCCTAATTGAATGGAGACGCTGAGGTCTGGAGCTACCTGTTACTGAAGCACAACCCAGACTATCCTAGCTAACTGTGGCCACCGTATGCAT